GGAGTATCACCAGACCCAGCCAAGGTTGAAGCCGTAACACGCTGGAAAAGGCCCACTGACCTAAAGACATTGAGGTCGTTCCTGGGGTTTTGTGGATTTTACCGGAGGTTCATAAAGGATTACTCCGCCATTGTAAGGCCTTTAACAGAGCTCACTAAAGGTTACCCGCCAACATCTGGGCAAAAAAGCAAGTCAAGTGATGGGAAGATTTACTTCAGAGTATCGGAACCCTTTGGAGAGCGTTGGGACGACACTTGTACAGCAGCGTTCCATAAAATCATTTACTGTCTCACCCATGCCCCAGTACTTGCTTTCGCGGATCCTGCCAAGCCTTATGTACTGCATGTAGACGCTAGTCTGAGTGGACTGGGGGCCGTTTTGAATCAGGAGCATTCTGGAGGAATGAGGCCCGTGGCCTACGCAAGCCGGAAACTGAGTGCCTCAGAACAACGGTACCCCATACATCAGCTAGAGTTCTTGGCACTCAAGTGGGCGGTAGTGGATAAGTTTCACGACTACCTATATGGAGCCCAGTTCGTGGTAAAGACCGACAACAATCCCCTGACCTATGTGTTGTCAAGTGCCAAGCTGAGTGCGACGGGTCATCGTTGGTTAGCTGCCTTAGCTACCTATAACTTCAGCTTGCAATACAAACCAGGAAGTGCCAACATCGATGCGGATGTATTGTCTCGCTACCCCTGTGAATCAACTGCTTGCTCTGACTGGAAGGAGATACCCAAGTCAGGAGTAAGAGCCATCTGTCAGTTAGCAGTGGTTGCTGAAAGTGGAAGTTCATCATCCAGACTGGTGGATCCGTTGGGTGTGTTACCTGAGGGTATTCCTGAAGCTTTCTCTTGTCCCACAGCTTTGGGGCTTAGTCAAATGGAACAGTTGAGCACTACTGAGTTGAGGAAAGCTCAAGAGGAAGACCAGGTAGTTGGTGTAGTAAAGCGAGAAGTGGAGTCAGGAAGGATTCTTACTGGGGCTAGGAGTTCTGATGCTACCATTGCTCTGTTACAGCGGCAGGGAGACAAGTTAAAGATAAAGAGTCAACTTCTGTACAGAGTCACCAAAAGTTCCTGTGGTAGAGAAAAGACACAACTCGTCTTACCCGAGAAGTACTGGGCTACTGTGTTACAATCATTGCACGACGACTCTGGGCACTTGGGAGTAGAGAAAACTACGGAACTTGTGAAAGACCGTTTCTATTGGCCTAGAATGTCTGCATACATAGAGCAGTATGTCAAGGATTGTGGCCGGTGTGTAATGAGAAAGACGTTACCCAAGAGAGTGGCCCCACTGAATCACATACACAGCAGTGGGCCATTCGACTTGGTGTGCATCGACTTTCTGTCAATTGAACCTGACTCAAAAGGTATTGGTAATGTTCTCGTCGTAACAGACCACTTCACACGCTACGCTCAAGCGTTCACCACCAAAGACCAGAAAGCTCTGACTGTGGCTAAGATACTGTGTGACAAATTCTTCGTTCACTATGGCTTACCCTCTCGCATCCATTCTGATCAGGGTCGAGATTTTGAGAGTGGTCTCATAAAAGAGCTACTAAGCATGCTGGGAATCCGAAAATCCAGAACGTCTCCCTATCATCCACAAGGAGACCCACAGCCAGAAAGGTTCAACCGAACACTTCTTTCCATGCTTGGTACCCTGAATCCAGCCGAAAAGAACCGATGGAGTCAGCACATTAACAGTTTAGTACACGCTTACAACTGTACTAAGAACGAAGCCACTGGGTTTTCCCCTTACTATCTTCTGTTCGGAAGAGAGGCTCGTTTGCCAGTGGATGTGTGTTTCGGGACTTCGCCTGATGGAAAGGGAGCAGGAAGCCATCGACAGTATGTGGAAAGAATGAAATTAGACCTACAGAGAGCATATCAGTTAGCCACCGAAACTGCCCAGAAAAGTCAGCGAAGGAACAAACGGTTGTACGACAAGCGAGTGAAACACCAGAGTCTGACTGTGGGAGATCGTGTGCTGATAAGAAATCTGGCATTGACTGGAAAGAACAAACTCTGCGACAAGTGGAATTCTGTTCCGTACCTAGTGGTGGAAAAGCTAAAGAACTTACCAGTGTATCGCCTAAAACCTGAATCCGGTATGGGAAGTGTAAGAACATTACACAGAGACCATCTCTTACCCGTTGGGGACCATGTGAGGATGGCAGATCCTGGAGAACCAACGGAAGTTTCTGCACCTGCGGAGACCAGGACAAGATCTAGGGAGAGAAAACGGAGAAGAGGATTAGGAGAAAGAAATGTAGTGCCGACAGGGTGTGAATTGAGAAACTCCTCTGAAAGTGAAGAGGATGATGTGTGTTATTACTACTCGGATAGAGTGGAGAGACAGCACATGCCAGAGTGTGTTACACTGGAGGACTCTACAGTGGAGGATGAACCGGTTAACTGTGGATGGGAGGTGGATAGACCTTTTGACGACATGGCAGAGCCGATGATCATGGAAGAAGGCCCTGGAGAGTTTCCCGATCGAAGTTCAGAGACTAGGGGAGATCCTGGTTTAGAAGGGGGAGAGATGGAAAGAATTAACGCTACTAAAGAGGTAGTAGAGACAGTTCATTCCCGCCCAAAAAGGGAGATACGACCCGTAGTCAAGTTGAGCTATGATTCTCTGGGACAGCCCACTAACAGACCCTTAACTCTGATTCATAGAGGGATGGTCATAAATGTAGAGGGTGGGGAAGGTTCAGAAAGGAAACCCTGTAACACCATGTGGTGTCACCCTATGGCACAATGTGTTCGTTGTACTCAGTTAAACCCTTCTACTGAGCCTAAAGTCACCATTAAGGTGTTGAGAAGTAATCTCATGGGGTCATGAGATGTTTAGAAGGGGGAGCATGTAACCCAGTAGGTTATAACTGTGTTGTTAATAAGTTACTTCAATTTATTAGCTTGTATTTGTTTAATTAAGAGAGAAAATGTGAATTAACCATTCATCTTTGTTTGTGATCATACGTGTATTTGTGCCTTTAAGAGCGCGCGTGCATGAGATACAAGTTTTATAGAGGTGTACTTGTGGAAAACGTGGCTTTAACCATCAAGTTAGGTGCTTGATTATTTTATTGGTGTATGTGAATTAAGTCCCGCCCTCACTGGTGTTTTGTGTAATGTGAGTGGTTGTTCGGGACATGAGAGTTTTTGTTGACAAGCGCGAGAGAGAGAGAGAGAGAGACGGAGATTCAGAGAGACGCGTTTGCGGGTACAGAGTGATTTGATTGACGATTTATAAGTTTAAACAACCTTTAACTGTAATGTAGATCCAAGATGAATCGCTTGTGTGTGCGTCTTTGAGTTTGTAGCCAGTGTTTTTATAGTTTTTGTTTCGTGTGGCTAACCTGCCGTGTGGGAGCGAATCCGAGTGTTTTCGTTTAGTTATCACTGCGCATATCTGCGCATCTGAACTGATTACAGCGACAGTTAAACAACCGACTAAAGACTGTTTAACCTGGTTGTTGCCCTTCACAACGAGGGAGACCTTGAGGACCAGATAGCGCCCCAAATACCCGCGTTATTTGGGGTTCCTCTGGCGGCGTGGGAGGTGCATTTCGTCGGCTGACGAGGGAGAGAGAGGACGAGGAGCTGCGTGACGCCTGCTGCAGGATTCCGGAGTTGCGGTATCATTGCACGTGGAATTGAGGTATCTTTGTTTGAATTGTTTTGTGCTCAGGAGAGTGAAGGGGCCATTTGTCAGTTTCCCGGCCACCACGAACACGAGCCACGTTTCAGGCCTGCAACGGGGTGGGGTTGAGTCAATGACTGGTGTGTGTGTGTGTGTGGGCCCACCGCATTAAATATTGGTACATTCTAGTATTATTCAGTGCACTGAACATGTAATTGTTTATATTCAGAGTATATTTGGTATAATTTGTGAGTTATTGTATACATTTATCCCATTGAGGTCATTGGTTTAAGATATACTGATTCTATTGGACCTGTATACTAATTTCAGTAGGTCGGGCATCTGAGAAATTGTCCTTCGAGGATTAAATTGTGTCCCATTTAATGTGAATGTGATTGTGGGAACACTTCACATTCTGAAACTCATTGTTTGAGCCAGTTAACATTTGATCATTCTATTACAATTAAATCCTTTATTTGTTTTGTACTTTTACCAGTGTGTTATTCTTTCAGAAGTGTTTGTTGACTTCATCAGTTTGGGGGCGTAGAGATTTAATTCTGAGTAACTTCGTAAAAGGAAAGTATAGATTATTATTCTAATTTTCTAAAAGAGAATTAATTCATTTAGTGACACCAGAGGGGCCTAACTTCAACATCTGTAGGCATATAGTTAATGAATCTGGAGCGCTGTCCTACTTAGTTACAAGAAAGACAGGTAGGGGGCGCTACATTTAGTTAAGATATTTGTATTGTTTTTACACTGACATGTCATGAATGGACTAACAAAAACATAGTTTTACGTTTGTAATATTTGAGTGTAACCTTTCATTCAATAAAAGATAAACTGAATAAAGGTTTTTAATCTCCAATAACCAGAGCTGGACTGGTAAACAAACCATACTGTACTTTACATAGCCTATTGCATTTTCCATAGAAAGTGTCAATATATTTGGTAAACACAAAGAGGATTTTGATGCAATACACTACAATGAATTAACCAATAACCAATTGTTTTGAAGAGAGTTATTAGGTAGTCTACAATAATTACAGTTTTGAAAAGGAGAAACCAGATACTTTTGTTGTCACACCACAAAAACCTATATGCCACATGACTCCAGCGCCAAGTGCTCAGACACCGTATCCATCCACATACCTTCATGTGACTCTAGTGTTGGTATTTGCTGCACTCTGTGAATATTATATATTCTTGACAGCTAGATTAGATAAAGGTCAAGGAGACATTGCGATAGCCGTCGACAACGTCAAGTTTAAAGGGTTGGGTGGCCTTCTCTTTGCTGGACCTAAACATCTGTTGAAGGTTAACTAACCACTCTCGTTTTGTGGTAGTTGGTGGCATTTACACGGTGATCCAGACCAAGGCGCGTCTGACCTGCGAGGAATGGGGTGAGAACTACTTTCTAGTTGGCCCGTATATGGAGTCCAATGTCAGGACGCAAGTGGAGCTGATCGAACCCTGTAATCCAGCACTCAGAAGAACCATTGATAAAATGAACAGCAGTGGGTGCAAGGTATACAAATGCACGCACATCCTTGCTGGCTAGTTGACTAAATACATATGAAAAAAGAAAGACAATTTCTAACTCTGGGTTTGTTCACCTCCTGTTTATCCACACTAATATGTGCACACACATCACGCAGCCTGTTTTAATCTGCTCTTATCCTCAGTGAAACCCTAAACCTTCATTCTGTGTGTGTGCGTGTGTGTGTTTTAAAGGTTAAAAGGCTATATCTGTGTCCTACAGCTAGACTGAGGTCTATTTCGGTTCTTTGAGAAAATTTTCCGCTGAGAGAAAATTGGTGCCAGCATTATTGACAGGTCACTTTGCCGTCATCCAGGTTTCTCATAGAAAGTATTAACTAAAGATTGTGATCTTTGAATAAATTTGTCAAAACTGTATGAAGACAATATCAGCAAGTGTGGTGGTAATCTTGGTTATTAAAATACTGTTTCCATGAATGTTTTAATGAATCGTTTCAAATCTTTAGCAAAGTGACACAGTTTTTGACTTCATACCTTCCTCTTTCTCTAGGTATATTTTGGTCGATGGCTGATTGAAGGCTCTCCATATGTGATTCTGCTAGACGTGGGCTTCACGGCCTGGTCTTTGGACCGCTGGAAGAGTGAATTGTGGGAGAAATGTGGTATTGGTGTGCCCTGGTTCGACAGAGAGGCTAACGATGCTGTTCTCTTTGGCTTCCTCACTGCATGGCTGCTGGGAGAGGTGTGTGCAGTGTTGGTTTTGTGTATTTATTAATATTTTTAATTACTGGTAGCTTTTATTTTATATATTCAGTTTAAGTTTTAGTAACTTTGCTTTTGTCATTTATTAACTTTCTATTTAGCTTTAATTTATTTTTAATTCAGTTTTAGGAATTTTTTAACTTTCGTTTAAGTTTTTAATTTCAGTATTTAATCGTATATTTATATTGTATTATTGTATTTTAATAGTTTTAGTTAACTAACTACACTGGTGTGTGTCATTCCTTTTTTATAATATCTATATGAATATTAATTTTGTCATTGTAAAGTACATGTTTTTGTTTTTTTGTTCAGGAAATTCAACAAAAAATGATTTATATATTAAATAACCTACTATTTTTAGTAACCCAGTGAATTATATATATATATATATATATATATATATATATATATATATATATATATATATATATATATATATATATATATATATATATATATATATATATATATATTTTTTTTTTTTTTAAGATACATCATCTTATCTTTTTATTTGGAACAAGATGTTTAATTCTTATTTATTATGATTATGGTTATGTGTGTTTCAGTATGCAGCTCAGTGTGACGACCCTCCTCACATCGTGGCACATTTTCACGAGTGGCTGGCAGGTTTGGGGCTTGTCTTATGTAGGCAGCGCCAGTTACCCATAGCAACCATCTTCACCACACACGCCACTCTGCTCGGCCGATACCTGTGTGCCGGTAGCGTCGACTTCTACAACAACCTCGCAGAGGTTCGTTTGTGCAAGAGATTGTGTATTTGTGAATGTGATACTTCCCCATTATTGTTTTTTAATCTAACTCCAGATAGATTCGGTTTTCTTTTGAAAACATTCCCTGTTTCAAGCAAATAATAGTTTGACACCAAGAATATTTTCTGGAATCAAAAACAGCAACTGTAATTCAGCTAGTATCCCTAATTTAATAAAGGTGAAATACTAGTGGCACTTGGGGAAATACAAAAGTTAAGCATATTTTCAAACAACCTTGCAAACGTCCCCTTGTGTGTCATGCCTCCCAAAACCCAAATAGTTGTTACGGGTGCTTGTAGGCATGTCTTAAAAGGTCAAATTAAAATTAGCGTACTTTCAATAAAAGATCAAACATATTAGGAATACTTTTAGATGTTGCAATGTGTCATGAGTAAGCAATTGAGTAGATTAACACTTTGTCTAGAGCAAACGCGAGCGTCTTTAATATCCTTTTTTAATATACTGTACCCATCCAATGTATCTGCACTGTGTGCATTTTTTGACTCTCAGTGTTTTGATGGTGCCTGGGAGGTTCAGTGTTGACACTTTTTTGGAGAGATAAACCCATGTATAGCATACTAATACTAGTCAATAAACAAAAACTGGGTTAAGAGAAAGTATTTTAACATAAAAAAATACTTTAACTTTTAAGAAAGTGTTCTGAAGTGTCTTGTTATTTCTCCATGTGTAGTTTAATGTGGATAAAGAGGCAGGTGACAGGCAGATCTATCACCGGTACTGTCTGGAGCGTGCAGCAGCCCGCTGTACACACGTTTTCACCACCGTCTCTCAGATCACCGCCATTGAGGCCGAGCACTTACTAAAGCGGAAACCAGGTGACTTTAGTTTCTTAAAAAGACTGTTACACTACATTTCTAATGGCATAATGGCACTGTCAGATGATACCATTTAAAATGTCATCATGGCCGGATTGATCTGGTATTAGAAGAGATTCTGACCTCATTTTCACTCAGGAGGCTTCTTGATTTAGTTCAGAAATGGAATTTTGTCCAGGAAGCTGCTGTTTTGTTTAACCTATTTTTAACCATTTGCTTAAGATATCAACTTTCACTTTTCTCTGTCAGATATTGTGACTCCTAACGGTCTGAATGTGAAGAAGTTCTCAGCCATGCATGAGTTCCAGAACCTCCACGCTCAGAGTAAAGCGCGCATCCAGGAGTTTGTCAGAGGCCATTTCTATGGGTCAGGGCTCATAATACGCGCAATCATCATATTCACATGTCCATATACGATAACACTCTCATACATATGTTTTCTTGTTGTTTTGTGTTCCCTGCAGGCATTTAGATTTTAACCTTGACAAGACGGTGTTTCTTTTTATTGCTGGACGCTACGAGTTCTCAAATAAAGGAGCTGATATCTTTCTTGAAGCATTGGCCAGACTTAATTACCTTCTGAGGGCAAGTATTTGTGTTTTAGGGTGTACACTAGAGATGTGCGGATCAACTCTAACGTCACCTGAATCCGCTGTTAAAAATAAATAATTCACCCGCCACCCACGCAAACCTATGATTTTCTCTGATTCAGATATCATTACCTGACCTGTGTGCGATCGTCACATAACACTGAGAATTAGAATAGGCTAATTGTAAAGCGTGATGTTATGGTAACATATAACACTGAAGTAGGCTGCTTTTAAATGAACATTAGTTTAAAGTAAAAGTTGTTCTTTGTCAAAATTACATTTCCTTAATAGCCTAAACGGAGGCTTTACTCCCTTCAAACTTTAAATTGGAATGTCACTGTTTCCGTCACTGCAACTTCCCGAACACACACAAGAAATTAAATGCGTTCAGCCCAAACAAAGGCTGGATATAGGATTTATCAGTTTATTGTCATACATACAGCGCTTCACAGCCGTTACATATCACATATCCAGTACTTAACTTGCCCTGGTTAACTATTTCACTAAAACACTCCCACACTGTATTTTTTTCCCTTCCTTTTTTTGTTTTGTTTTTAATGATCTTTTTAAAATTTCTCTCTGATCTGTTTTACTTCCATTGCTGCTTAAACAAGTAGACACCTCAAGTGAGTCTAAGCTAAGAGTCTGCAAATTAGTGCCTGACGAAAAATTAAGCTTTAAACGCATTAATAGTTCCATAGACTCTTTTTAGAATAGTTTCTGTTAAAGGGGTGGTTGATTATGATTTCACTTTTCTAACTTTAGTTAGTGTGTAATGTTGCTGTTTGAGCATAAACAACATCTGCAAAGTAAAGTTGTTCAAAGCAAAAGAAAGATATTTGCTTTTAAAGAAATCGTTTCCTCCTGGGTTAGTGACATCACTAACCCTAAAATTTACATAAACCCCGCCCCCGGGAACACGCAGTCCATATTGAGAAGAGGAAGAGTTGTAGTCGAGCGCATTTGTGAGTCTGCTCAAACTGTCGCATCCGTCTTTTCACGTGCAATACAGTACGCAACACAAAGGCAATAGCATGTCACTAGTCATCTTACAACAGTTTCCACGTGAGCGATTTTATAGATTATCATGACAGAATATGCTAATTGAAGATAGTTAACTCCACATCAGCAACATAAATTCATCATCTAACCATTCAGAAATGTCCTGTTGCATTCTATGTCACTTCTTCTTGAGTCTAGTTTAGACTCCAGTTTAAACATAAAAGGCAGAACAGTTTCTGACATCTTAGTGTTTGTCTGTGTGAGGTAATCGGAGCTGCTAACACACACAAGCTCTTGAAGCTCCGCCCTCGGTGACGGGAGCAGCAGCTCATTTGCATTTTAACGGACACACACGAAATGACGTGTTTTTACTGATCCTCAAAAGGGACAATTTTAACATGCTGTAAAAAAAAATTTCTGTGGGGTATTTTGAGCTAAAATTTCATATACACACTGGAGGCAACAGAGACTTATTTTACATATTGCAAAAAGGGGCATTATACCACCCCTTTAAGCTTGTGTATATTAGTTAAAGTTATTAAGCGATATCTCATGTAGGTTTTTTCCTTTGTGTTTTATATAATGACCACTAGAAGGTGCTCTAGGCATATTTTTTCCTTGATTGATTTTCCCTGAAGAAATGCACGTTGTTGTTGAAAACAAAAGTAAAAGAGTGGTGCGCGTTCATTGAGTTTTACCGTGAAAAGTTCCGTGTCTTTAATAAAATCAACACAATATAATGATTTATCTCATTCACCCACAATTAATTGGAATGTTATTTTGTATTACTTGGCCCGCCTCACCCGCGGATATAAGCGTGATCCGCGTATCAATAGTGTACACTATGTGCATTTGATACTTCACAGTACAAACACATAAAATCTTATAAAGATGGAGAATCTTTGTTTGAAAAGTTTTAAATGTGACCTTGATTTTAAACAATACTCTTATGGTTCTAGGTGAATCACAGCGAGGTGACTGTAATAGCATTCTTCATCATGCCTGCTCGTACCAACAACTTCAACGTGGAGACCCTGAAGGGCCAAGCCGTGCGGAAACAGCTCTGGTAACCATGACAACTGCACTGTGAGGACTACTATTGTGAATGACACTGTGTAGCTCAACCTACCTACTTCATAAAAACTCCCAAGATCGCCTAGAATGCCGCCACATGTCTTGAAAGCAGTGCTAATGTAATATTATTTATACTGTATTTTGAATTCGCTTTTGTTTTTATATTTTCAATTTTAGTTTTAGTAATTTTATGTGCTTTTGTTTTTTTATAAGTTTGTTTTTAACTCTATTTATCTATAGTTTATTTTTATTTCAGTTTTAGTTTGAGCCGTTTTAATACTTTAACTTTTACTTCAGTAAGTTGCTAATGCAACATTTAAAATTTTCCTTTGTTTATATTTTTCATCTAATATTTATTTTTAATTTTATTTCAGAATTTTTTTTTTTTTTAAATAGTTTGTTAACAATAGCAATACTGGTCTAGAGCGTCCCAACACAGCTGCCATTCTGTAGTGAAGGATGTATGATGATGTTGAAAGAATTGTATTTAGTTATTATTAAAATAAACAGTAGTCATAATGTCACCTAATTGAAAGGAATAGTCAAAATTATTGTTATTTATTAATTATTTTACATAAATATAATTATTTACTCATTATCATTTTGCTCAAAAACACATATACAGTTTTTTTTCTCTCTCGACATTTTAGGGTGCTTTCACACTTGGTTCGATTGCCTGGTCCTCTCCCCCTTCCCCTGCTTATACAAATAATTATATTATTTGTGTCTGAACCGCGATGCGTTTGCGACATAAAAGCAGCAGCTGTTTACCCCTATTGCTTGGTAACGACGACACAGGAGATAGCGGCAAAATCTATAGCGTTGCTCTCCTCCCTTTTATATTTTGTTTTTTGTACCTTGATTACATTTTCAAAGCATCAGCACATAACACTTGCCGCAAATGTTCTAAAGAAGGCGGGAGTCCATTACTGCAGAAGGCGAACAGAAATGAAATGTACATTTTCTCTGCTTGCAGTGCATCAGCTTGTCAGGAAGGTGAGTGAAACCCACACAAACAGTTTTATCGGGTCATACGTCATCAATAGAGGTTCACTTCCGCAATTTAATACGATTGTGTACCACCGACCAACCTTTTTAATGCGGATTCAGGTACAGTTCACAAGTGCGCACCCGAGTTCGGAAAACAGTGTTCACATCCAAACGAACTGAACTCTGACGTCAATCGAACACGGGTGCGCACCAAAAGTGCTAGTGTGAAAGCACCCTTATTTTCAGGGACTCGGGGTCTGTTGGAACAGTGAATGGATTTTGTTGTGATATTGCATCTTTGTTGTATTGTCAGGGACACTGCACAGACTGTGAAGGAGCGCTTTGGGAAGAAACTCTACGAATCACTTTTAGTGTGAGTTGCCTCTTCGACTGCATCAAAAAAGTGTGTGAATCTCTTCTTCGGAGTGACATTGCTCTCGTTTTTGTTCTCAGAGGGCAGTTGCCTGATGTGTCTAAGATGTTAGATAAAGAGGACTTCACCATAATGAAGCGTGCCATCTTCGCCACCCAACGACAGTGTCTGCCCCCCGTCTGCACTCACAACATGCTGGAGGACAGCAGTGACCCCATCCTCAACTGCATCCGCCGCATTGGCCTCTTCAACACCTCTCAGGACCGAGTCAAGGTACAGAGACACAGTATATAATTAAAGGCTCACTAATTGATTAGTTTTTCTGTGGGAAAAATACTGAATATACTTTTAAAGACTCCTATTCTTCTGCTAGGTGATTTTCCATCCAGAGTTTCTCTCCTCAACTTCTCCTCTCCTGCCGATGGATTACGAGGAGTTTGTGAGAGGCTGCCACCTTGGAGTATTTCCATCTTACTATGAGCCCTGGGGATACACACCAGGTATAACTACACACACTCCTATATGTACACCACTGGTCAAAGGTTTGGGGTCAACATTTAATTTTTTTTTTAAAGAAATGAATACTTTAAAATGATCCAAAGTGATACTGAAGACATTTTTAGAATTTTACTAAATACTTTTATTTCAAATAAAGGCTCTTCTTTTGATCTTTCTATTCATCAAAGAATCCTGAAAAAGTGTTACTTTACAAAAAAAATGCTAAAGAAATGTTTCTTGAGCAGCAGATCAGCATATTAGAATGAATTTTAAAAATCAACATTTTAAATAAAATTTCAGTGTATTATTGTTTTTACTGTATTTTTGACCAAATCAATGTAGCCTGGTAAGGAAAAGAGACTTCTTTTAAAACATTAAAAAATCTTACTGACCCCAAACATTTTAATGGGAGTGTATGAACTAATTAAATGTGTATTAATAACTACCACTCAACACAATGAACACATCTCTCTCCCAGCTGAGTGTACAGTGATGGGTATCCCATCGATCTCCACTAACCTGTCTGGGTTTGGCTGTTTCATGGAGGAGCACATTGCTGACCCATCAGCTTACGGTGAGAGCTGTACATTTATGGTGGAAAAGATAAACCGCAGCTACAAGATTTTTTTTTTTTTTTTTTTCAAGTCTCATTTTTGTTTGAATTAGTTTTATTTGGTTCCTAATTCCCTCTCTCTCTCTCAGGTATCTATATTCTGGATCGGCGGTATCGTGGGGTGGATGAGTCCTGTAATCAGCTGACGTCTTTCCTGTTTCAGTTCTGTCAGCAGAGCCGCAGGCAGAGGATCATTCAAAGGAACCGAACCGAGCGCCTCAGTGACCTGCTAGACTGGAGATATCTGGGCAGGGTAAGACACCACAGACACAGACACACTCACACACTCAATCTCAATGAATTGCTTTTCCCAAGTCCATACCACCCAGGACTGTCAGCCACAAGATGTGTCCAAATAGCTGTATATACATCAAAACAATAAAGCTAACGGGTTATTGTTCTTGAACTAATATAACATGTTTTTATTTCTTAGTATTACATTTCTGCCCGTCATATGGCTTTAGCGAAAGCTTTCCCGGACACATACATCTATGAGCCTCAAGAACCCACTTCAGTAAGTTAAAACGATGACTTAAGTTTATAGTCTTAAATTTAATTATCTAGACCAGTGGTTCTCAACCTGAACTCTCAACCCGGACGTCTCAACCTCAGCAGACGTCCAAGGGGGACTTTGGTAGAAATTGAGTGGAAAAAATATTTTTTATAATGCTTTTCAAGCTAGTTACAAACAACTAGACAAGTCATGGGGCTTTTGAATATTGTTGTGGACAATGGGGGGCCTTGGAGTCAAAAAGGTTGAAAACCACTGACTGCTCTAGGCAGATCTGGTTAATGTCTATCAGCTAAGACGTAAATATTTGTTGACATTTATTCTTTTATTCACGTAATCCAGGCCACAGGCTTCCGTTACCCGCGACCTGCCTCTGTGCCCCCTTCTCCCGCCCACTCGCTTCACTCGTCTCCTCATCACAGTGAGGGTGAGGATGAGGAGGAACTGTATGATGAAGATCTGGAAGCAGAGAAAGACCGGGTCAACATCCGCCAACCGATTATTGTACCGAACCGAAACAAGAATCATACAGTCGGTCTCCCTGAGAAAAACTAAAACACAGCCCTACATGCATACATACACAAACTGTAGCTTATACTGTGAGGCACTTATATACACACACACACACACACACACACACACACACACACATATAATATATATATATATACCCACACACTTTAAACACAATAATACTCCCCTAAAAGTGAACGTAATGCCTGCAAACAGTGTGTTTGCATGTTGGTTTTCTGAAGAGAAATAAATAAGATGTTTAAGTATATGGTGAGCCATAGTTTGTGAAGATTTCACTGGTGTCTTTCATAAAAGGCCTATTACAAAAACAACTGAGAGCAAAGGATTTAGTAGTAGCTAGACTTATTCAGATGACAATTCCTATGGATTCATACCAAACTGACCTCCAGCTGTGTGTCTGTGATGCCGGTCTTAAAGGGATAGGTCCCTCAAAAAATTATTTACCCCATGATTTACTCACCCTCAAGTCATCCTAGGTGTATGACATTCTTCTTCTAGACGAACACAATCGGTGTTATATTAAAAAATGTCCCGGCTCTTCTTAGCTTTATAATGGCAGTGAATGGCCGTTTATGTTTTGAAGTCCATAAAAAAGCATCCATCCATGATAAAAGTGCTCCACACGGCTCTGCGGGGGTTAAAAAAGGCCTTATGAAGTGAAGAACGATATCCATATTTAAAACTTTATCGACTAAAATAACTAGCTTCCGGCAGACGGCCTACGTATACTACACAAGTCGGTTAGTCTTCCACTGTGAATCGATGTGTACGGCTGTCTGCCGGAAGCTAGTTATTTTAGTCGATAAAGTTTTAAATATGGATATTTTTCTTACACAGACACATCGCTTCACCTCAGCGATTTATTAACCCCCACAGAGCTGTGTGGAGCACTTTTATGATGGATAGATGCACTTTTATAGACTTGTAAACCGAAACGGCCATTCACTTCCATTATAAAGCTTGGAAGAGACAGGACATTTTTTTATATAACTCCGATTGTGTTCGTCTGAAAGAAGAATGTCATATACACCTAGGATAACTCGAGGGTGAGTAAATCATGGGCTAATCTTAATTTTTGGGTGAACTATCCCTTTAAGCGGACATTCAAATGGCCACTGTGAAAAGTTAAGATGATACAAATGAAAGTGTTCATTTCAAGTCTTCCCATGATAAACTAATTGAGATGAAGAACATAATTGTTACAAGCATTTATTTTAAAGAGACCTTTATAAGGAATGAGAGCCTTTTCAATTCTTTAAAGGAAAAAAAATGCATTATTTATACACTGTCTGTTCCAAACCTGTATGACTTTCCTCTGTGGACCGCAAAAGAAGAATGTTCACGCTGCTCTTTTATGTAGAAAATGAACGAGTCAAGGTTCAATATATAAACATAAAAATATAATAAAAATAGTCCATATGGCTCACTGTCTTCTAAACTCATACAATATCTTTGTATTAAGAACAGACCCAAATTTAATCTGTTATTTACTGAAAATCATGCTTTGACAGTCATTATTACTATTCACTTTCATTGTGCTTAAAAGAGCTAAACTTCTCCATTTGTGTTTCATGAAAGCAAGAAATTCATACATGTTTCAAAAGACTTGAGTTTGAGTAAATTATGACAATGTACCGTTATCCGAAAACATTCTTGCGATTCTTTACTCATGGCCAGATTTCCCTTTGCAGTATTATGTACTCTCAAAAACATAGTGCGTATCCAGCAATTTTTATTATTATTATTATTAAAGGTGCTCTAAGCGATGTTGCGTGACGTCACTTCTTGTTGACGTTCGAAGTATTGTCAAACAAAATGGAGGCTAGCTCGACCCTCCCTCCTCCTCATCCCCTCCCCCTCCCTTCCGTTGCACGCGCACTAACCCCCCAACCCCCAAATCATTCTTGTCGGTTATTGGCTGGAACACTGTTTATGTTTCGTGGTCCAGGTTGGACCAGTTTGTTTTTGTTGCTGTTTGTGGAGCCTGGGCTGTCTACAGAGACCGCGTTTTTGTTTACAGTGTGTTCAGGGGACAGGCAGCTAGCGGATAGTGCGGAGATGTTTGCTGTATGTGACGACAAAATGTTTCAGCCTAAAAAACGCGTGACATCGCTTAGAGCACCTTTAAAGAATCACAAGCAAGTAATGTAGCAAAAACTAACCTGTCAAATGAATGCACTGGATGATCATTGATACTGTAATACAAATACACACGAGCACTGTTTAAATTTGTCATGTCTGTCACGGCTGTACAACAGAGATTAAAGTCTACAACATTATTGACACGACAACAATTTTTTTATTATTTCTTTATGTGCAACTGTTATTCTTCGGTTAACTTGTACACTTTCTGACTGTTGTCAACACAGATATACCCTCCCTCCATGACCCTTGCAGACTGGAAAAAAAAGACAACATAATTCAGATATAATGTAATATATAATAAGACAGAGATAATAAGATATGAGACAAGAGATATTATGTATCATTTTGGACTTTTCATTCATTTTCAAACTTTAGCTGGACAGAAAGAAAAGATGATGGTTACAAAAGAATGCAAAAGTTCATGATGGAATTGCTTTCTATGGCTATATTATCTGTGCAAAACCAGGTTTGGCTTATAAGGATGTTCACCACATACTGTGGTTTTTGGCTATATGCACTCCATCTGTCTTTCTTATGCAAACATACCCAGTAAGCTGCTCCAGAAGGAATTGTATGTGGCATTTCCTGTTACAGCTCCCGGTTTGGCGGGGTTCCGTCTTACCGTTTTCACTGAGAACCCATCTGGACCTATTACCTCAACCTCCACAATATGGTAGTCTGCTAATCTGGAGAGAAAGGAAAGAAGAAATGCTCATACTCAAGGTTAAGGATTTGAACAAAACCTGAAGTATATTGGTTTTTTTTTTTATACTTTTGGTAGTGAACAACTACTTAGCAACATGCTGAAAAGTCTAGGTATGGAGGCAGTTTTATTGTGTTTTATGAGGAATGAAACATTTTGAGGACCAGTTGGCAACTCACGCAGTGTCTGAAACGATTTCTCCAGTAACCCCATGGAAGCCCAACTTTGATGCGGCTATGGCCGCAGCTGCCATTGTGTTCACATTGTTGGGGGCTATGGGGCAGAGCTCTGCTACTGAGCCGTGGTACAAGACCCGCCTCCCCTCTCCCTCCGTCCAATCAGAGAGCAGGCCACCAGTCAGTCGAAAGCAAGAGGGATGTTTAGACATTCGGATGGAAAGAGCCTATGAGAGAGACATTACCATTTACCATTTACATTTGAAAATTACTTAATTGTTTCTCTCACATTAAAAAATATATTAAGTTGAACTTTAGCTATTAACTTTGCTGACCACCTGTTGAATATAAATATTTTTTATGAGCAATCGTATTAAAATTTGTACACTAAATAATTATAATAAAATGGTATCACCCGCAATGTTCCGCTGTCGTTCATTTTTTGAATATCTTGGCCACCCCATAATGCACCACTGGGCACATAAAGCGTTTTTCCATGTTGTTTTGCAGCAGTGCGGAGCTCGTGCTCAAGCTGGGTGTCGGAGAGGGCCGAAGGGCTGCCCACCTGAGGGAGGGAAAAACTTGATCGGGGATGGTTCTATAACAATTACATAACCAACACAGCTTGTAATCATTATGAAATAATGTAAATAATATGGAAAGCAAGATTGCTGGTGATTAATATAGAGGTAAACAGTAGTTACCAGAAAATGAGCGTGTGACAGAAATCTGACCCCAAACTCTTTAACTATCTGTGGATGACACACCTCCACTATTACATCAGTTACTCTGAAACACACACAAAAACACTTATAAGTGCTCTGTCTCTCCCGTTTACATTTAAACAAATAGGGTGAATTCAGGTTGATTGGGACACTTTTTGCCATTGATATGACTGGGGAAAAGTGCCCCTATGCAACATGCACGTGCATACAAACATATTAGCAATGTTTACCTGCATGTGAAATCTGAGAGGTCATGTAGAATGAGCTCTTCGGGCAATGAATCTTTAAGTTTGTCTGGATTTCGGTTCCAAACGAATGCTAATTGCAGCCCCACTTTAGGCCCTTCCCTTTGGATCTTCTCAACAAGAAACTGTCCTGAATGTAGAGAGAAATATAAAATACAAGCTTCATGGTTTGACAGAACATCAATTGATACTGAACATGAGTAATCACAGCTCTTCCACGCTTCTTGACCAATACATTTTCATGATATTTTAGTGGTTTGTGTTATGGACAGATTCACTAATGAATCAAAAGTCCCAGATACTTTTCGATGACAAAATATATGGTTATATGCTGATTAACTGAGAAAATGACCTTAAGATGTTATATTTAAAAAACAGGAAGTATAATTTTTTTTTATTTTGTCAAAGGTAATATGCAATATTTTAAGTGCAAATTAAATAAATCAATGTGTAATACACTGTAGGGAAAGTTGAAACAGAAGTTTTCACTGGAGAACTCACCTAAATGTCCATATCCCACAATTCCAACCTTTAAGGATCTATCAGCCATATCTGCAAACTGAGAAAATAGATTCAAAAGAACCATAATAGCATTTCTATAGAATGTCTAATCTCCAGGGTTTGTCTGCTAAACGTAGTTTAAGGGAGCTAATTGTTACCCACAACTATATAACAACAGTGTAGTCTATTTTGTAACTTCTGAAACGGGAAACAGCATGTAGGCCAAGAAGATTTGCTTATATTGCATGTATATTCCCCACACATGCTCTTGATTAAAACTCTGGCCCCTCCCCCCTTTTCATTTTCTCCAATGTCACCGTCCAACTAATACATTCTCCTTTATCTCTAACACACTGAACTCAATCGCTCCTCTCAACTTTCACTTACCTGCTTAATCCTTACCTTTTCTCTATTTTCACTCTCTCTTTCTTCTCGATGTTCGTCGATCTCTTTCGCTGTTTAAACTTGACAGATTGTTGGATAGAGCGGGTTAAAGTTCATGTTAATCATTAGACTTTGTGTGTGAATCCATTGGCGTTTGGATATTTTAAAGGAGCACTGTAATATTATTTATGGTAGAAACGGGGATCCTGAACCTGAAGTTGCCATGCCATCTATGATAGGTCTTTAAACACCTTATTAACAAGTGTAAGACAAAAATGTTATAGTAGACTCCCAAAATATACAACATTAATGTATTTAGAATATATATATATATATATAATTTTATTTTGTGCTTTTTTGCATCATAACACTGCGGCTCCGTGGCGCCCTCATATGGGTGACCATGTGGAAAAATTTAAATATCTCCAGCAGTTTTGATTATAACTATGCATTTAAAACCACTACCATCAGAGAAGCTAATAATAATGGAAAAAAAGAATTAGAATTACAATGATTATTATAATAATTACAATACTTTTGCATATATTTAGGTTGATATAGGCCTAAACAATTAGCCTAAATAAAACGTTTCTTGTGCTTCTCCTTACTCTGACATCTACAAACACAACGGAAAAGCTGACAAAATGAATAAAATAAGCTGAAAAGACAGAAATCAAAGTGATAAAGATAATTTTCTATAATTAATAATAATTAAAAAAAAAGATCTTCCTGAACTTGTGTCTCAATCATCAAACCTTTGCTCTTACTGATGATGTCACTGCAGGGTAATAGGCCATAATGCAGAGAGAAGAGGGAGAGACAGGCACAGAAAGAAGGAGAGAGAGTGAGGGGTGTACTTTGTTTATGACAGAACAATCTGACAGATAACACATCCCTCATAATGGTCCAAAGTCCAGACCTACCCGAGCCAATGAAACACACTGGTATACATAGTTCACAGAGACATTGCAGATCTCCCAGTTGTGGAATACGTGGCCCACATCTGAGAACGGTGTGTGTGACTGTTTAGGCCAGAAGAGAGAGATGGACATCCTGGAGACAAGTGCCTTTGACCGCAGACAACGCAGAAATACGGTAATCACATCACCACACACACACACACACACCTGCACACAAATACAGACACCTGCGTTCTGCTTTTGTGGGATTCACAGACATCCAGTTTAAATATTTAGATCCACATTTAGTCACAATTATTTTTCTAGTATTATGGCTTCACACTCATGTCATGTTTTAATTTCCTCATAACAAAGATATTTGCATTTAATGTTTAATTAAAAAAAATGTGAGACTATTAGAATTCTCTTTAGAGCAGAATGTGCAGACTGTGTTTTTATAACTGATGCCTGTACTGCTTTCATTCTTTTCCAGTGCTGTGTACTGTTTCTCTACCTCCTCCCTTTTTTTGCATCCTGCACAATATACTTCTATTTGTGGATCCCAGACTCCACCCCCTCTCTTCTGGCTGCTGGAATAAAGGCTGCTCCCATCCTCTCGTTGGTCCTTCTGGTGTTCAGCTATAATGGGGGGCGGAGTCTAATGGGTGTGGCCGGAGGGTTGCTGCTCTCAGCGGGCGGAGACTGTTGCCTTATTTGGCCAGAACGTTTTATTCATGGTAAAAGTTATTTCTTTCTGTCCCATATCTTAACTTAAGACTATCAGGGTTAATGACACAAAATTTAACAAGAACATATCCAGGCCATATTTCACCCTAATATATACATATATAGGCTATATATATATATACATTGGAATATTAGGGATATTAATTTATTTTCATGGCAGCAGTTAGGCACAATTTCTCCATAAAAAGTGCCATCACCACAATCCAAAATAGTAATAAAATATATATTTTTTTTATATTGTATTAATACATCATGATACTAATTTGTTCAGTCTTTATTTTAACTTGATATATACATCGTATTTGTAACTGTATCACTGTAATGAGAATAAAATGAGAATTACCATTCAGAATTAGGGAATTTGGTATTTTTTTTATTACAAATGTTTTTAATTACTTTAAATTTATTTCCATTTTAATATAGAATTAATCACAATTCTCCACAGCAGTGTTATTTTAACATCAGTTTTTATTAATGGTTTGAATTTGTGTTTAATCTAATTTTAGTTCAAGTTTTGTAATTTTGTTGTGTGATTTTGTCTCTTTTTATTATTATTAAAAAAATAAGTCTACATCTTTTATTCATTTTTATTTCATTTTTAATGATTTAAGTAGCCTATATCAGGTAAAGGTAAATTATAAAACTTTCCTTTGCAACTAGTTAAAAAAATGAGTAAATATTAAATTTTATTTTGATTGACATTTATTTTACTTCAAGTAACATAAATATTTATTTATTGTTTTGGTTGATTACAAAAACCCTGTCTCACAGTCCAATCTCTTTCTGTTTTCTTTTTCAGGAATGAGCTGTTTCGCTCTGGCCCACTTGCTTTACTCTTTCTCCTTCCTGTCATCACGATATTCTGCAACATCTTCGTCTTTCTCATTCTATATCCTCTACCTCCCCCTGTGGTTGATCGGCGGTGGACTTTATGTGTACCTGGTGCCCTTCCTACGGCTTGATCCAGAAGCTGACGTCCTCGTCCCAGCCATAGGGGGTTACGTGCTGCTCATTGTCATCATGGCTACACTAGCTGTTCGTACGCGGCGGCCGCTTGTCCTGCTGGGGAGCCTGGTCTTCATGGCTTCTGACCTCACAATTGCACTAACAAAGTTCAATGTCTTTGATATAGAATACGAAAGGCACATTATTATGACAACATACTACCTGGCACAGCTGATGATTGCGCTGGGTGACGTGAAGGCAATGCTGGAGGAGGATGCTGATGATATCCACAAGTGGAAGAGATCATAAAACTGCTGTGAACTCAGGATATTGGTTTAGTGATGCCACACAAACACTACTTTGTGTATCATCATCACTGAAAAGGGTTGATTACGGTATAAAATGGGACCTATTTGAATAAACCTGTCTGTGTCTGTTTCGCAGTTAAATCCACAACTATTGTGTGTGGACTTGACTTATATCCCTAAATATCTGAAATATTACAGTCTACAATAACAGCTGAGACTTAGGCCTTCTTCTAGTTTCACTGCAGCAGACTGATGTAAACTCCTCACAACAGACTCTGCGCTGATATGAACTGATTTAATTAAATTTAACTGTATTTAAATCAAGTTTTATTTTGTCGAACAACACAAATATTTATGCTGGGATGCTCCACATTGAAATTATGCTATTTCTAGAGCAGAGATAATTGTATCATACTTAAACAGAAAATAAAGGAGGTTGTGTCACAGTGTCACAGATATGTATTTATTGACTGATTCATGAAACTTTTGTGGTCTAGTTGCTGGACAAAAGACAAATGTAAAAATGTTTATTTTTTTATTTTTCTATAGAAATTGAATAATAGAAATATATATATATATACGGTATATATATATAATAGAAATTGTAAAATTGCTAAATCTAAGCAGTTTTAGTCTGTATTAAGATATCTAAACTGAACATTTAGGATCTTATTAGGCTAAAATTTATTCCATAATAGTATTAATAAATAACTTGAGTAAACTGAACTGTAGTGATTTGACACTAATCACAAATCACTACAGTTGACGTAAGATCTTAACGTAAGCTCAAACATACTTGACGTAAGATCAAACATCATGGACAGATGATCCCCGTTCACTTATAGCGTCATCTGTCGGTTATCTTGAGTTATGTGTGAGGAAAGCTTCGGTATTCCAAAACCACACACACACACACACTCACTCACTCACTCACTCAACAGAACTGAGGAGAGAGATGGGAACTGAGAGAGGCTTCTCTACGATCAAGACAAGTTGATCTTCAAGACAGGAATGAACTCGTATCCATTTCATTTGTGAATAATGCCGATGGAATCATCACATGCGTTGTTTTGGTGATGAGGAGACGTTCACATTCCGAGGGAAAGAGGATATAGCAGCTAAGTCATAATTAGTCAGACAGGCAAATTATGAATGAAAATTTTGAAGAAATAAGCCCAAAACGGGAAACACACCGTGTGTTTATGCGCTAAAGACAACAACATTCGTAACGCGAGTTACGAATTCTCATCTATTCTCTCAGGTAAATAACTTTAGCCTATTTTACATCCCCCCCCCCTCCCCCCATTAAGTTCCCAAGCTTATCAAAACCTTTTTTATTGAATTTCTGGATTGTTATAGGTAAGTTATACATTAACGGACTTGAGGAGCGATATTAGTTAACATTCATGAGCTGTATGTAAAAAAAAAAAAGAAAAAAAAGAAAAGATAAACTGACCCCCCCCCCCCCCCCCCCCCCCCCAAAAAAAAAATAGGCTAGGCATAAATTAGGCTATATCTGTATCAACCGTTTTCTCTTATTATATATCCAACTCGTTCCTCTACATCTGAAGAACACAGCTAAGTTTATGCCCTAAAAAACTAGCAGTTGCTTGATGGTAATTAACCTAACAACAAGTGCCCATTTATCCTCAAAATAACTCCACAATCAGCAAGCATAATGATAGCAGGGTGTCAGTTGTAATAATGACTATTATTATTTTCTTCCTGTTTCCTGTTTGTTTTGAGCTGGTGTGCTCTTCCTCCTCCTGATGTTCGGGACTGTCAGTATGTCTATGGGCGGTCATGCTGTGGCCAGCTGCCTTTCTCTCACTTTCACCCTCCTGCTCCACGTCTTGGATGTGTGTCTGTGCCACCAAGCAGAAAACGGATGCCCAGAGAGCTGTTTCTGCTCAGAGAGTGTCGACGGCGGGCTGGTGGTCCGTTGTAGTGACATGCACTTGATTGCAGTGCCACGTGACCTTCCGAACACTACACAGCATCTATACCTAGACAACAACCTGCTGCTTACCATACCAGCCGATGCCTTTATAGGGCTCCCACTACTGTTCAAATTAGATCTTTCCCACAACAGGTTGGCTTACCTGGAGCCCGGAGCCTTTCAACACCTTGCAGACTCATTGAGCAGCCTGGATCTTTCTTCTAACCAGCTGGAGACCCTGGACCCCAAGGCGTTCGGCGACCTTAGAGCCCAGACTAACCTCTCTCATAACCCCTGGCTGTGTGACTGTCGTCTGCAGCTGGCTATGCCACAGCTGCTCTTGGATCCCTCCTCCCTCACTGAGGTGGTGTGCAACACTTCTGAACCTGAAGCGCTGGAGGCTCAAGGTATGCCCTTCATTCTGGTGGCGACTGATCTTGACTTCTGCACTGCAATCCAGAGGACCATTGATGTGGCTATGCTGATAACAATGTTTGGCTGGTTTACAATGGTTATATCCTATTTAGTTTACTATGTAAGGCACAACCAAGAAGATGCAATTCGCCACCTCGAGTATCTCAAGTCTCTGCCCAACAGGCAGGGCAGATCTGAGGATTCACTGACACTTAACACCAGGCCGTAACACAATTATGAATAACAGGGTTAAAATTACACTGGTTTTTCTTTTTCTGTTGTTTTTATTGATGTTTCTGTATAAAAGATCAAATAAAAAAACAACAAAATATATAGAGAAAGTGACAGTAAAGACTTATATGATGTTACAAAAGATTTCTATTTCAAATAAATGGTATTCTTTTGAACTTAATATTCATCAAGAAATCAGAAAGAAGTCTCACGGTTTCCCCAAAAAAGCAGAACAACTGCTTTCAACACTGATGATAATAAAAAAGAAAAAAGAAGGACCATGTGACACTGAAGACTGGAGTAATGATGCTGAAAATACAGCATTGACACTACAGGAACAATTTTTTTTTTTTTTTTTTTTTTTTTTTTATAAAGTAAAATAGAAAGCAGTTGATTTAAAGTGTCATAATATTTCATAATATTGCTGTTTTTACTGTGTTTTTGATCAAATAAATGTAGGATTGGTAAGCATAAGAGAAATAAAGTGAAATAAAAATTGAAAATTCTAAAGTGATTATCATTATTTATAGAAATATGCATTAAAAACAACTGTGAACTTGATATATTGAGACTTGGTAACCATTTCTTTGGGACACAAGACCAATTGAAAATATGTTACTGCCCGGATCAAAAGCTTTTTTTTTTTTTATTAAAATAGGGTTCCTGAGGTTAAAGAATGTGTCTTTCAAAATGGGACACACATGTTGTACATGCAGTAGCTATATTAGATTTGAGCACATTGTGGGTTTTTGTGAGACTCCAATAACAATGAGATTATGTGCAGTACCTGTATATCATACTGTATCTATTGAAATATAAATACTGATACTGTATTGAAATAGAAATACTGATCTGGGCTTAGGTTGCAAAATTATGCAGACAATAGGCTCAAATGACTTGTATTACTCATATAAGATGTCTACTTTTAACAAGTAGCGAGAGTTGGATTCAGATTACACTGAATAACTACACCACATTTGAACTCAAAATTAAATACAGACGGAAGAGCTTGAGCCCTTCAGTCTTCAGATGTACAGCACTGTCATCTATTATTATCGTTGTTCGGGCCTGGTAGGCATGATGGACCAGCACCTGCTCCCCATCAGTGGCATCTGATACCAATAATGATGTTTGAATATGTTTCTCAAGGTCTTCATGATTTTTAGACCCAGTTTCATATGTCTCTGCTTTACTAATCAGCTGCTTTAGTGATTCACAATTGTATTGTCAATTATTGACAGCAAGTGCTCAGGTGCCCAGTGTTATGAATTTCCATTCATGTATGAATCAACTGCTGTATTAATATGCATTTTGCAAAAACCATCCTAATTTAGAAGTAATAGTGCAACGGTCACCAGCTGGAGTGCCCTTGAGAGCCACCAGAGGGCACTCCACATCAGACTATTGTCATTACCCCACAAACTAGGCAAGGCAAGGCAAGGCAAGTTTATTTATATAGCACATTTCATACACAATGGTCATTCAAAGTGCTTTACATAGAAAAATCAAAAGAAATAAGAATAATTAAAACAGTTAAGAGCAAAGAAATTAAAACAATCAAAAGAAATAAGAATAATTAAAAACAGTTTAGAATATAAAATAAAATAAAATACAGTACAAACTGTCGGACACAGTAGCACAGTGCTCATTCAGTAAATGCAGGGCTAAACAGAAGTGTTTTTAATCTGGATTTGAATGTGACTACTGTTGGAGCACATCTGATCTCCTCTGGAAGCTGGTTCCAGCTGCGGCTGGCATGATAACTAAAAGCAGACTCTCCGTGCTTAGAGTGAACCCTTGGTATTTCTAGCTGATGTGATCCTCACTGTGATTCAGTGAGCATATCTGCAATGTATTGAGGTCCTAGGCCATTAAATGATTTATATACCAGTAATAATACTTTAAAATCAATCCTAAATGTAACTGGGAGCCAGTGTAAAGACCTGAGGACTGGTGTGATGTGTTCATATTTTCTGGTTCTGCTCAGGATCCTGGCAGCAGCGTTCTGTATGAGCTGCAAGTGTCTTATGGTCTTTTTAGGTAGGCCAGTGAGGAGTCCATTACAATAATCCACCCTGCTGGTGATGAAAGCATGAACAAGTTTCTCTAAGTCTTGATTGGAAACAAAGCTTCTAATTCTTGCAATATTTTTCAGGTGATAGTATGCAGATTTAGTTATTGATTTGACATGACTACTGAAACTAAGGTCTGACTCTAGAGACACACCAAGATTCCGCACTTGATTTTTAGTTGTTAGACCCCTAGAGTCAAGGTATGCATTCACCTTGAGAACTTCATCTTTGTTTCCAAACGCAATGACTTCGGTTTTGTCTTTGTTTAACTGAAGAAAGTTTTGGCACATCCAACTGTTTACTTCATCAATGCATTGGCACAGGGAGTCAATGGTGCTTTAGTCGTTAGGCAATCGGGCTAAGTAGAGCTGTGTGTCGTCTGCATAGCTGTGGTAAGAGATTTGGTTCTTTCTCATTATTTGGCTCATTGGGAGCATGTACAGGTTGAATAGGAGTGGTGCAAGAATTGAGCCTTGAGGGACTCCGCATGTCATGGATGTCCACTCAGACTTATGGTCTCCTATACTCACATAATAACCTCTCCCTGTCATGATTCTGCCCTCGTGTCCTTGATTTTCTCTAGTCTTGAGGCAGGATCATGACAGAATCATGTTTTGTGTGCAAGCACATGGTCTTGTGTTTTGAGCCATGTGCTTGTGTTGTCTCGTTACGTTACCCCGCCCCCTTGTTATCCTCGTCTCGTCATTATTGTCTAGTCAGTTTCACCTGTCCTTGTCTAGTCAGCTTCACCTGTCTTTGTCATTAGTGTCTCCCTATTTAATCCCCTTGTGTTTGCTTGTCCTGGGTTGGTACATTGTCTAACTTTGCGTGTATATCCCTGTGAGTATTTCACCTGAAGACCTGTTCTATTAATTGTGAGTTTGCTTCTTGTCAAGTCAGTATTTTGTTTGTCATCGTGTCTTAGTTTTGTTGTGCTCTGGTCCAGTTCTGTTTTGCCCCCCTCGTGGGTTTTTGTTTTCTGTTTTGTGCCTCAATAAATCCCTGTTTGTCTGCATATCGTCTGCATTTGGGTTCGTTCCTCCAACTTCATAACAGAATGTACCGACCAAGACAGAACCCAGCAGACAGTATGAGCTTTCCTGCCAAGCAACCTTCGGGCCCCTCTGATCAATGTTGGTTATCAACTCCCCGCGACAGGAGGAGCGTCAATCTGCCATGCTCGCCTGAGGGTGAGTGGATCCTAAAGAACTTCGCTCAGGTTTTTGATCATTTCTCCCGGGAGGAGTCAGAGACGGCTTTCCCATGGTTTTCGCCTGCCGCCTGCCTGCCAGCTATTCCCGAGGGTCGTTTGATCGGCGTCGCGACGCTCGGGGACCAGGCTGGTTCTCTCACGACTCCTGGCACTCCATCTGCACCTGCTGACCTCCGTGGGAAGCGAGGGCGGCGAACCTCGTGGGACTCTCCTTCTGAGTCCTCAGCGTCGGAGTCTATCCGGCCTGATATATCTCCTCCTTCGCCCAGCACAGTTACCACCGTGCTTCCCCAACCGGTCACAAGCCCGGCTACGGCCTCTGCTTCTCGATCTAGGAGAAGGAGGGGAGCCTCCTGTCCTTCGTCAAGTGTCGTCACAGAGCCCGCTGCAGTCAGCGCAGTCGCCGAGCCCGCTGCAGTCAGCGCAGTCGCCGAGCCCGCTGCAGTCAGCGCAGTCGCCGAGCCCGCTGCAGTCAGCGCAGTCGCCGAGCCCGCTGCAGTCAGCGCAGTCGCCGAGCCCGCTGCAGTCAGCGCAGTCGCCGAGCCCGCTGCAGTCAGCGCAGTCGCCGAGCCCGCTGCAGTCAGCGCAGTCGCCGAGCCCGCTGCAGTCAGCGCAGTCGCCGAGCCCGCTGCAGTCAGCGCAGTCGCCGAGCCCGCTGCAGTCAGCGCAGTCGCCGAGCCCGCTGCAGTCAGCGCAGTCGCCGAGCCCGCTGCAGTCAGCGCAGTCGCCGAGCCCGCTACAGACAGTGCTTCCAGGTCTGATATGAGCACATCTTCCGAGTCTGTGGATAAGAGCGCTGATTCTGGTTCAGCTTCAGTGAACACTGATCCCTTTGTGGTGGCTCCGCAACCAGTTCCGTTGTTGCCCTTCTCCGTTCCTCAGTCGTCTACCTCTCTCCCTGTCATTTGTCCCGTGCCGCCTCCTGCCCTGTCCCAGTCAAGTTTCCCCAGCGCTTCTCCTCGTGTCACCCTGTCCCAGTCTGCTTCCCCCAAGGCGTCTCTTCGTGTGCCTCCACCCAAGTCCGCCCGGAATCCTCATCCTAAGCCCACATCCCGTAAACCCAAGACCACCGTCCCACCTACCCACCCTGGACAGTTCCCCAAGAACTTTGTTGTGCCTCCGCCTCCCCTTCCTTGTTTATTATTTTTGATGTTTCATCCTAACCCTGTTGTTGTGTTTTCGTGTTTGCCGTTACTGTTATTTGTCATGTTTTGTTGGTTTGTGTCGATGTCTCAGTCTGTCATGTCCCGTGTTTGATGTCCCCTTGAGGAGCGTCTGGTAGCCGCTCCTTAAGGTGGGGGTTCTGTCATGATTCTGCCCTCGTGTCCTTGATTTTCTCTAGTCTTGAGGCAGGATCATGACAGAATGGTAAATGGACTGCATTTATATAGCGCTTTCACAGACCCAATGGCCACCAAAGCGCTTTACAATTTGCCTCACATTCACCCATTCACTCACTCATTCATACACCGACGGGCGACGGCAGCCATGCAAGGCGCCATCCAGCTCGTCGGGAGCAGCTGGGGTTAGGTGTCTTGCTCATGGACACCTCGACACTTGGTCAGGTGGAACCGAGGATTGAACCACCAACCTTCCGGTTTGTAGACAACCCACATGAACCACTGAACCACTTAGCCACAGAATCATGTTTTGTGTGCAAGCACATGGTCTTGTGTTTTGAGCCATGTGCTTGTGTTGTCTCGTTACGTTACCCCGCCCCCTTGTTATCC